GGTAGTCTATGAATCTGATCCCGGTTCAGTCCTTCGAACGGTCTGCGTGGTCTAAAGGACTTGTGCAGCTCATTCGGAGTGCGGCAGGTGGTTATATGCCCGCTGTTGTTGTATGCACTAGCTACCTTAGGCAACATCTTATCCCAGTTGATCTGATCTGGTCTAATGTACATGCGCAGAACTTGCTGTAGGATCTTGTTCATCTGTTCCGTCTGAACGTTGGTCTCTGGATGACGGCCAGATGACATTAACAACTTAGATCCGTACACTCTCATGAGTTCTTGCCAGTTCTGGCTGGTGAAGCGACTATCTCTATCGCTAACTATTGACAATGGGATTCCATTCTCACTAACCCAAAAGTCGAAGAACTTCTGTATCACTAAGTCTGTACGTGCCTCTGCAGGCAAAGTAACAAAAACTGCATACTTACTAAACCGGTCAACTATGACCATGACTTGGCTCTTACCATGTCTGCTCTTGACTTGGGTGTCCATGAAGTCTATGGACACTGAGTCTCCCGGCTGAAGACCAAGGGGTGCACACGTAGTAGTCTTATTACAATGGCATACTTTGCGGACATACTCTATGCAGTCATTCTTCATTCCTGGCCAGGTGTATGCATGCATCAGGTTGGCTAAAGTCTTTTGCCAACCGAAATGTCCTTCAGTATCGTGGCATTCTCCTAAAATCAAACAGCGAATCTCTTCGCTGTTGGGAACGCACAGGCGGTCGAACACATTAGTCTTCTCAAATAGTAATCCCTCAGTAGTGCGGTAATCTGGCTCAGTCTCTGGGGCCTCTCTAACTCTCTTTAGGAGGTCGCTATCGATAGGGTCCTGCGCATACGCTTGCTTCACTTTCTCCTGCAACTCTCTTCCTATATCCAAATAGTGTACTAAAGCTCCAAAGTAGTCTGATCTCCTACTCAGAGCGTCCGCAGCTACGTTGTACTTGCCCTTCACTGGCTTGAGCTCAAAGTCATATTGATCTATCTTTGCGGCCCACCTAGTCAACTTAGGTGTCATCTTGGCCTGGGTCTTTGACCAATGAAGCGTCTCGTGGTCAGAATACACTTTGAAGTGCCTCCCAAGCAGGTAGTGCTTCCAGTGTTCTAGAGCCTGCTTGAGAGCGTAGAGTTCTCTCTCGTACGTCGAGGTGGCTACCTTCTCTGAGGGCATCCTCGCGGACATGAACTCTACGGGTATGTAGCCATTGTCGTCATCCTGCTGCAACACGGCGCCTATTCCATACTGACTCGCGTCCGTGGTGACGACAAATGGCAGGGACAGATCTGCTACTTTGAGGACAGGGTACTCTATTAATGCGCGTTTCAGCCTCTTGAGCGCAGATGTACAATCCTTGTCCCATTGCTAGATTGCCTCTTTCTTAAGCAACCTGCGCAGGGGAGCGGCGATAGTAGAGAAGTTCCTGACGAACTTCCTATAGTAGTTAGCTAGGCCTAGAAACGACCGCAACTTTGTCAATGTGTGGGGCGTCGGCCAGTCTCTAATCGCCACTATCTTGTTGTCGTCTGGCTTAATGCCATCTCCGTCTAATACGTGGCCCAAGTACAAGACTTGTGTCTTGGCCCACTCGCACTTCTTCGCGTTGATCTTGAAGTTAGCCTCTCGTAGCTTCTCCAAGACCCGCCTCAGATGACCCTGATGCTCCTGGAGGGTCTTACTAAAAACTAAAATATCATCTAAATACACCACTACAAACTTGTCTAACCATGGTCTGAACAAATCATTCATACAACGCTGAAATGTGGTTGGCGTGTTGGTCAGTCCAAAGGGCATTACTATAAACTCATAGTGCCCATAACGAGTCCGGAATGCAGTCTTGTACTGATCATCAGGATGGACTTCTATCTGATGATATCCGGACTTCAAGTCTATCTTAGAGAAATACTTGCAACCCTGCACCCAATGTAGAAGATCGTCTATCCTGGGCAGCGGTTCAGCATTCTTCACAATGATCGCATTCAAACCCCTATAGTCTATACACATACGAAGCTCTCCTTCCTTCTTCGGGACAAACAGGACTGGTGCTCCAAAAGGAGTCGAACTGGGCCTGATCCAACCTTTCTCAAGGAGCTCGTCTAACTGCTTGCGCAGCTCCTCTAACTTTCTAGCGGACATCCTGTAGACTACTCCCTTAGGAGTTCTACTGCCAAGCTCTATCTCTATCCTGTGCTGGATGGGTCGCGGCACTACTCCTGTCGGCGACTCAATCAAATCTTTGAATTCTTCCAGCAACTTGGCTATGTTTGGATCTGTGCAACTATCCTCTTCCTTGGCCTCGGTGACAGGTCTAACATAGACTACAAAGACATGTTCCTCTATTCACTCCTTCACTAATCACAGAACGCGGGAGCACTGAGACAACAATGTGCCAAGGTGTTGTCCACACCTGACACGTGAAACAGGCGGGCGGTCTTAACCTCGCCTGATGGACTAGGGAGCCTACACTCATGCTCTCTCAAATGGAGTGTGGCCCCTGCTGCCTCTCCCCAATCCATTCCTAGTACTACATCAAAAGGAAGGTCATCCTGTACGAGGAGAGTCAGGGAATGGAGAACTTTCTCCACCTTCTCATCCTTCTCTAGGCGAAAGTACGCCTGGACTCCCTCTACATAGTCCTCAACGCGCATTGTGCGGTTGTCTGCAAGAACACCGACTATGGGGTCTGCTAACTGTTGGACTTTTAATCCTAACTTCAGCTTCTTCAGCGCCCTGCGACTAATATAACTACGGGTGGCCCCTGAGTCTATAAGGGCCCCTATTCTATTTCTGAAAACTTCTACATCTACCAAGATTAGCTGTCCTTTACTCTCTTTCTTCATCTTGGCCCAGACTGGCATCCTCTCCTTTAACTCTTCTGCCACATCTGTGAGGGACGTGCCTAAAGAGACGCTAACACAAGCGGTCTCTGGACAGCTAGCTGGGCAGGACCTTTACCTTTCTTATCACGCTCATAGGCCCTGACTATGTCGGGAGCTGTTTCTAGAAGTTCTCTTCTCGTGAACCAGCAGTCGTCTTCCGGCTCCTCATAGGCAAACCAGACCTTGTATTGCTTCTGGGGACGACCTCTACCCCCTGTTCTAAATACATCCTCATCTACAATGCCTTCTATGTCATAGCTCCCATCCATATCTGGAGGGATCATGGATCTTCTTGAAGGGAACTGTTGACTTGTGACACATGGCAATAGCTTTGAAGCATGGAACACAGGATATGTGTGGAGGTGTGCTGGGATCTCTATAGTGTAGGACGGTCCATCCTCTTCCCCCTTGACTTCTACAACCGGCCACTATATGCAGGTAGCAACTTCTGCGAGATGTCTTCTTTAGGTGCATACTCTTTTGCCTTGACCCAGACTAAGTCGCCTACTTCAACCTGCGACGGGCGACAGTGCTTATTAGCCTGTTCTACCATTCTATGCTGGGCCTTGCCAAGGTTCACTACAACAGTTGCTAATTCTTTTTCGTGTTGTATTGCAAACTCCCTGGTACCGGGCGATAGTCTATGAATCTGATCCCGGTTCAGTCCTTCGAACGGTGTGCGTGGTCTGAAGGAGCTGTGCAACTTATTTCGAGTGGGCGCATGTCGCCAGTTTGCTGCGCTGCTGTTTACATGCATGGAAGGTGTGAATGAGAACGAGTCTGATTGCATTGGTATCGGAGCTGGTACCCGCTATTCCATGCGCGCCGTCGTGTGCAGGGCCTGA